GTCAAATAATTTACCACTTAGTTGTTTATAAAAACATCTTTTAAATTGGAAGTTCGACTCTCCGATGATTTTCTTTTTTATTTTCCCTTAGTATAATAAGTTTGATTGTAATTTGTTAAAAAATATATAAATTATTAAATAAAAGAAAATTTCTCATTATCATAAAAAATATAAACTATTTTTTACTAACTTCAGTTCGTGTTACTACAATTCCAACACAAGATGTTAAATTTTATTTTATTTTTTGGCTTGTTTGGTACATGTTACGACATTTCCAACCCAAGATGTTAAATTTTATAATTTTTTGAGGTTTAATTCAAAAAATCATCTATTAATTTTCAGTTTAATTTCAATTTCATCTATTATCTTTGAATTGTTTCAATTCTGTCTATTATCTTTCACATTTATTTCAATTTCATTTGGCAGTTAAAGTTAATAGAAATCCTAGCGAAAATTTTCTTAAATCTTAGTACTCTAATTATATTTCTTTTAATCTTTTAGTCCTTAAATTTATATTCACAGTTAAAATAGTTTTTATTCTTATTTTGCTAAATGTATTTTTCAAAAAATTGTTTTACAAAGCAGACTACTTTCAGTCCATCCTGTAAAATTATTTAAATACCCTTAATTCTATTTTTATATTATTTTTGTATGAACATTTAAATAATTTTATAAGACAGATTGTACACAATCTGTCCTATAAAACATACATACTTTTAAAATTTCTTATTTTGAACTTATTGAATTTCTCTGTCTGAATTACAATCGATCTCGATAAACTATTTTTTGATTCATCATATTTTCTTAGGATTTAAGTGTCACTTTTTTAAAACTCAAATGACTATTCTTTCTTCAAATCTAACGGCAATCTAATGTTCTCTTTGTACGGTAAATTAATTTGAAATATTTTTCAAAGTTTCTAGATCATTTAGAAATGAAACAAACTTTCTAGACTAAATTGAAATTAAACTGAAAGTTAGTAGATGATTTTTTGAATTAAGCCAATTTTTTGACTTGTTTGGTGAGAACGTGTTAGTTAGATTAACAATCAAATACATGTTTAATCATAAATGTTAGTATGTTAATTCTGAAACGAGTGAGACATCCTTGTTTTTTTTTTTTTTATCTTGTTCTTCTATATATTTTTGTGACCCTCTTATGGTGTTAAGATAAATTTAAATATATTTAACTTTAGCTATCTTAAATTTTAAAATATAAATTATTGAATAAAAGAAAGATTTC